AGTTTAAATGCCTTGCCCTATGAGGTGCTTAACCTTTTCCTCTCTGTACTACAACTTTGGCTCTATTTATTTATGTGCAGAAAGGAAAAAGGAAAGCAGATAAAATCTGGGCACAGTCTGCATAACAGCTCCTGGGCTTTCCTTCAAGAGTGACCTGCTCCCTTGCTACATTTACTAAATTGTTCACAACAGGAAATTGGAGGAATGTATTCCATGCTATGCAAAATATCACTTAACCTCCTCACCCATGTGTATGAGATCACGCAGCAGATGTCTCCATTTTAAATATCTTTGCCACTTATTCTGAGGGGGTTTAATTTTTTCAAGACCAAGAAGTAGAAGCAAAGACCTCCTGAAGAGGAGGCAGAGTGGCAGCAGCTCATCTTTTCTGGTGCTAGATCAAAAATCTGTTTCCCAAGCAACTGCAGTATGGCTGAGAAGGAATGAGAGACATACAGGAAAAAAAACCCAAAACATCCTAGGCAATAGTACTGTTTTGGGTGGAGAAGCCTTCTAAGGCAAGAAGAGTTTTAACAACCTGCTTTTGCAGGAATCAAGGCCCCCATGATGTGGCTCAAGTGGTTATAGCTATTATTCCTTTGCATATGACAAGTTCTTCCATTTCTCGCTACATGAAACGGACCTAGGAAACACCGAATCAGTGCTGAATGTTCCTACCCGAGATGCTCACAAGGAAGACAAGGTATGAACTAATGATGAGTAAAAAAATTCCTGTGAGCTAAATTAAAAATAAATTGTCCCCTGAAAACAAACAGCAAGACAGACTGATACGTCCTGCTCACAGTACACAGCACGTGGACTCAGGACAAGGGAATCCTATCATCCCATCCCTCCCATCCCTCAGTGGAAGGGAGGGATGTTCTGCAGGAACCCGTCCCAGGCCACTGGGGACAACTGACAGTGTGCACTTAGCACTGAATCTCAGAAGAGTCATTTGTTGTGCAGTTCTGCTCGGACACGTGGGGTTATGTCACCATAATAAAAACATAAACAAAGGCGGGGGAGGGGGGGGTGGGGAGAAAAGACAAAATGAAAACCAAAATCAAACCCTGCAGAAGCTGTCATGTGTGGACTGTGCCAAGACTCATTTCTGCATTGTCTTTGAGTTGGTGTCAATTTGTTTTTCCAAAACAAAAGCCCCAGCCTTTCATATCAGTAACTATGAAAATACATTTTCAGGCCACCTTGCCTAGAATCCCCCATTGTGGCTGTTGGATAACCATCTGTCTTGTAAGTGGCTATTGTTACTGTGATCTGTCCCTTTCATACCATTATCTTCCTGAAAAGCCTTTTCTGAAAGTAGTCCATTAGGGCAGGGAAAGAAAAACCTCAGTGCATGGCCACGCAGCAGAATCAATGGCTCCCTTTGATCTGCAAGCTCAGTCAGTACTACAAATTTAAGAAACAACACGGTTTTGCTTTGCTAAGCAAAGCCTGTTAATTTGGCTCATCTGCACTCATAGCATCTTACTGAAAATGCCATCTGTATCAGATGTTTTAAGACTTTGGTGCAATACTCGTTTAGATAAATAATTTTGTAAGATTCATTAAAAAATAATCAGAGAATTAATTTTCATAGTGTATATCTCTGCACGTAATTTTTAAAATTCAATCCTCTACTACCCTGAATGGTGGTGAGGATATTCACAGTGGATGAAAAAAATGCTGGTTACTGATGGAATAAGACTGAACATAGTTTTTTCTTATTCTAGTCATGGAATTTCTAGTCATGGGATTTCCTCTGAAATCTACTATGAGTGTTTGAGTCCTATTACTGGCAAGAGCAAAATGCATATGCACTACATGGAAAATAAAACCTTTTATGTATGTTGCAGGCCACACATTTAGTACTGAAAACTTAGCTCCTATCATGACAAAACAAGTCCACAAAAACATAATTTCATGCTACTGAAAGGAAATCTTTTGTGCTGATATAAAGGACAGGAGTGTATTCCACTGAAATCACCGTAGATAGCTATAAAACACTATGCAATATATAGAAAACTCTAAGAACATACAAAATTTACCAGTAGGGACTTGAAAGTGCAAAGAGTACACATAACTAAATACCAAGTCCTGATCTATAAAATCCTTTATGAACGACATACAGCTGATAATTACAAAGCATCATTCAGACCACCAAATAACAAATGAAACAAATGAAGAAAAATATACTTTAAGGAAATCAAAACAATGACACCGTTGGGAATGTTATCTTTGGGACTCAGAACACCATTTCTACCTCAATACCTACCAAAGCCAAGGAAAATATATGCTTGGACAGGGTAACACAAATAAGAATGCAAGCTACCACAAAATGCCTCAGGACTATTACCTCTTTATGTCTCAGCCTTTAAATCCAGCAAGCCATTAACTGTTTGTTCTTAGGCATCTCACAGTATTTTACAGGGATCTTTCAGGAATTATATATAGGTCTAAAGAAAGCCTTTGAACCTCCTTTCAATGATTGTTTTAGGCATTGTGTGGAGTTATACAAATATATTTGTATGAAAATTGAAAGCCCTGGTAAATATTCAATCTTCTATTACCTTTTGAAATAAAAAGCATAGATGGTTTAAAGACAAAAGCGAATTTTAGAAGAACAAAGGTAATTTGAACATTAAATTGTATCTTTACTCTCACACAACCATTACCCTGAATCAACGTCAGCATGTCGCAATGATTCAAAACACTGACGCCCTACTACCAGCTACTTTCCCATTTTCCTTTTAAGGATATGATTGTCCTTAAAATATGTACATAGCAAGCAGCCAAACAAACCACCGAGAGGTTTGCAAATTGTGCTTAGAGTGGGTTTGTGACAGAAAGCTTGAGGGAGTGGCAATGGAGCACCTTGGCCTGGGCAGCTGCCCTCCCACCCACGCTCCACGCCAGCCCAGGGCTCCTCACTCCCGGGTTAGCACCGAGGAGGAGGCTGTCCCATGCAGAGCATGGAGGGAAAAACGTGGTAGAAAACAAAGGAGAGAGAGAAGAATGAAGGGAAGCCAAAGCATTTTAATGATGATTTGTGTTAGTGGTTACGTGAGAGGGAGTTAGTCTAGTGTCACACTACTGGTTTCTCAATACAGACATGCCACAATGCAAACAAAACACATATGATGAATAATTTGACACACACAGGTCCTGTAGAGATGGCAGCTGGTATCTCCTAATGGGTTAAAAGATGCACCACTCCTACTACCTGTACCCAGTGCTTCCAGTTTTTATGGTACTACCACCACATCCTCCCTCCCTCTCAACTTCCAGTACCCTGTAGAATGTCTCAGTACAATTTTTCCTAAGAACAAAATGGGGGATTATAATTTTTCTTCAGAGTTGTCATGCAAGGAAAGATGCATCCCTCACAGTCAAACAAAAACAAAAGAACGGGAAAAGGAATGTCATGTTTAGGGCTGAGGAGCAGGATACTCTTCCGTGTTCTGTACATACATCCTTTAGAGGGTGTTTCAGCTTTGACTTTCTGAAATGCACGAGTGGAGTCAGACCAAATGCAAATCCCTTTCTCAGGCAAAGGAAACCATGGCCAGCGTGTTTGGAGGTGGATGTGGAGCACAGCTCCCAGTCAGTGCATGGGAGCGCTCACAGGAGCGTGAGTGTGAGTGTGAGTGTGAGTGAGTGTGAGCGTGCATGGGGAGTGCCTCGGCTGGCGCAGGGACCCTGCCAGGGCTGCGCGCTCGCTGCACATGCATATGGCATATGTACAACACGCCTGCGTGAGTGGGCACACAGGGAACCACACACCTCCATGTCAGGAAGAAAACATAAAATAATCCTCTTTGAAGTGTATTAAGGTTCTTAAACCATGAAAACAGGGGCTGGTCAGGGAAGCTAACACTTTCACTGGGATGCTGCAAGTCAGTATTAAATTCTGCAGCAATTTCAAACGGGATGTCAATTTCACCTTCATGACTCTAAGGTCATTTCCCCAGTGAACCATGAATCATGCATATACATATATACAATTCTTATTATGGTATTTCCTGGCTTTTTATGGCTTGCCTACAACCTTAATATCCTTCAAATGTATATTCTGTATATTTATTTTCCTTTTTTTTTTTCTTTTGATTTAAGAGACAATAAAACCAACTGCTATGTAAGATCAGACCCATTAGTTTCAATGATGTGAATTTAGGATTCTCTGCATAATATAGAAATGTATATTTTTAAAATGTATATTATTTTTTAGATACGCTGGAGCATATATTTTATATTAACTGTGGTCTGATGATTAAATACTTATATCAAAATATTTTGTAAATACATAACATTTACCTTTAGACTTCAGTGATTTTTAGAGTTTGTTCAGTGTATCATAAAAATATGTCCTCAGGCACATTAAAACCCTATTATATTTCTTTGAAATGTTGCCAATGTCCATGTACAGTAGCCACTACTCAAAAATGTCATGGCCATTAATACATTTTTCCTAAGATCCAAGCTCATCAGACCATTTTATGTACCACTAGCTTACCATATTTTTTTCTCTCTTAACATAAAATTATTCTGATATTATTGAGAATGAAAATAAAAAGCAATGAGAACCCAAATTTTTTTAAATAGTCAAAAACTAATTTTTTATATTTTAAAAAATAATACTTAAAAAACAAGTTTCTTTGCTGGGTTCCTTCTCGGTAAGGTTTAAGCCCAGATCAACTTTTGTCTAAACCCCTGAAAATAGAGGTTTGCAGTGGCAATGCTGTCAGAACATCAGCTCTGAGCCATGGAATGTGCCACTGGAATAAAATCAGCACTTCAGACTTACTTATCTGGGGATGCATGAGCCCATACAAACCAGAGTTTTTCTCTAATTTAAGGTACTTACACAAAGTTCTATCCTTTTAGAACTGTAAAATTATCTACCTATAAAAACTAACTCTTGCTTAAACTCTAGATAATAAGGACAGGTGATTTTTTTTTTAATAAAAAATCTGCTAAAACACATATATATTTACACATGGTGAGCAAGTTATTGTATAAATGTGGACAGTGTGTATATATTGGCATTTAGTAAAATGTTTCCCTGAACCTGATTGTATGCATTATCGGACAAGTATTGATGTAAACATCTGAACCTACGTCAGGTGTCTCTGTTACCCATTTACATTAGACCAGATCAAAACCAACCAGACAGACAGACAAACGAAAATATGTTTTCCTGTTAGACGAGTCCACCTAACTCCTTAGTTTTATCTCCTGCACACAAGTCATTCAAGTCTGCTGCTGAGCAGTGTTCTCGTTCCTACAGCAGGTGAAATACCTGTTAGGTGGGTTGTTTTCTGCTTGGCATTTTTTCCAACATCTTGTGGGGCTAACATCATTTCCAGAGCCAGCCAGGCACCCAGCCTCTACTCCTCCCCCAGAAATGATTAAAAGATAAGTGTATAGGAGAACCTCTCATGTCGCTCCTTTTGTAGCTCTGTTCCCTTGAAGAACTCATGACACTGCTTTACACGAGGAAGGATGGTCATAATCCAAGTCCTGCTTCCAGAAAGGCATGTAAAAATGAACCTCCCCAGTGTTTAGTGTTGCAGAAAAAAGATACAAATGTAAAAAAAGTGCTCAAAAAGAAGTTGACTTTTTGTATTCAGCCATACAGTCTAGTAAGAAGAGACTCAGAACTGCAGGCCCACAGAGTACAGCGAAGGAAGCCTTTTAGGTGACTTTCTTCAGGTGATGCAAAACTAATTCATTATCTGCGGTCTCCTGTGCAGATTTTCCCACATGGACTTCGTTCTCTGCGTTTGCCTCCACCTCTTACCCAACTACTTTTTGGCACTGTCCTGGTACGTGGCAGTTTTCACTGTTGTCCCTGTTACTGACCCAGCTACGCCCCTGTTACTGACTCGGCGTACCAGGACTTTGGAGACGGGGATTTTTGTTCTGTGCATCTCACTTTTGGCCAGGTGATGGTGTGCGACGTGATGGCTGTTACTGGCATCTGCTCCATGGCTGGCGGGATGCGAGGAAAGGTGTTTAATGCTGATGGGTATCTTGGAGTCCTTCGCGCTGCTGGAGGGTGTTTTCAGTGAGCTCACGGTCCTTATTGGAGACACGGGCTTGGAGCGTGGCACACTGGGGACTTCCTCGTTTGTGGGCCCCGCTGGTGGGTTCTCATCTGGCTCGGCATAAAGGTCATAGAGAGCATCTCCACTGTAGCTATCCCTGGGAAGGGTTTCCTTCTGGATGCTTGTGGAACTATCTTCCTCGGGACCAGGGGTGGTGGAATCCCAGTAGCCCTCATCGCTGTTTGGGACACCCTCATGCTGCTCCTTTTCCCTGCTCTTCTGCTCCTCTTTGTGGTTCAGGTGAATGGCAATCTGGTGGAGGCCACCACGTTTCACCACCACCCTGTTCTGGGCCCCCTCGGTACCTCGGGTTTCCTTCAACCCCTCGGGCTTCTTTGTCCCTCCTCCGCTTCCTCCTCCTTGCGTCTGAGTCTCGTCTGTCTGTGACAGCATATCCCAGAACTCCTGCAGGCAGGTGTCATCCACCTGGTCGGGGCTGGCCATCTCCTCCCCTCCTCCCTGGTAGGCCACCATGGTGGGGTGCTTCTTGGTGGCACCCAGCTTGCTGGGCCCGGGGGTGCTCTTCTCGCAGACGCCACTCCCGCCGCCCACATCCTCCTCATGGTCCGCAATAATATCTCCGCAGCCTGTAAGAGAGTCAAAGCTTTTCAGTGAAGTCACGTCAGCAAACATCAAACAAATACGATCAATCGATTGCTCTGAGGGTGGATCAACAGAGGAAGGGTCAGGGGCGGCTGCCGTCTCTTGACCGCTATCACAGTGAGGTTCAACAGGGGGGATAGTCGTTATTGGAATGTCACCTGTTATCGCCGCATCCTTCGCAGTCCCAACCTCTCCGGCGGCCGGCTCCGGTCGCTGGCGGCTGAGCTCCTCGGGTGGCCGCACGGCGGCGGGCGGCTCCTCCCGGGGCGGGGGGCTGCTGGCCCGCGGCTCCGCTCGGGGCTCCTCGGCCGCGGCGGGCGCCTCGCCGCTGCGCTTCTCCCGCGGCTGCTCCGGCCCGGCGTCTCCCGCGCCGCTCGGGCTCTCAGACAAAGGTTTCGGCGTCTCCTCCTTGATGCACTCCAGGCTGGCGGTCAGGGACCCCGGCATGATAAGGCCGGACGGGATGTCCGAGGTTTCCCCCCTCTCCTCCTTGCCGTTTTTGTCCTTTTTGTGCCACCGCATGCTGCTGAAGATCCCCTTCAGCCCCTTCTTTTGTCTGCCGCCGGCCCGCGGCTCCGCGCCCTCCGCCTGCCTGCCGTTCTTCCTCAGCAGCGAGAAGAAGCTGTGCGACTTGGCCACCGCGCTGCCGGCGGGGCCGCCGAGGCTGCCGGCCGGCCGCTCCTGCGCCTCGCGGCTCGGCGCGTCGCCGCCGCCCGGTTCCTCCTTCTTGCTGCTCTCCAGCACGGCGTCGGCCAAGCCGTCGTGCGTCCGGCTCCGCACCATTCCCGGCTTGCCGGCGCCCTTACCCTCCCCTCCTCTGCTCCGCACCCCGAAGATGCTCGGCATGGTTCCCCCGGACTTCCTCCTCCTGAAAAGCTTGAAAGCGGTTTTGTTAATCCTGCCCGACGGCTGCTCGGCGGCCGGGGGCTCGACACAGTCGCAGTGCGAGTCCATTTCTGCCTCTGCCGCTGCTGCCGCGGCCGCCGCGGCTTCCCCTCCGCCGCGGAGCGCGGTGCGATCCCTCAGTGACAGCCCCGCCGCCGCCGCCCGCCCGTCTCCATGGCAACCCGGCGGAGGGAGGGAGGGAGGGAAGGAGGGGATAAGCCGCTTTCCCCCTTCGCCGCCGCGGGCCCGGCCGCCGCCGCCCGTTCCGAGCCGCCCCGCGCCGCCGCAGGGCCGCCCGCCCCGCGGCCCTTACATAACGCGGCCCCTGCCCACCGCCCGCCGCCTCTGCCGCGCACAGCCGGGCTCTCGGGTGCCCCGGGAGCGTGCCGCGCCCGGGCGGGCAGAGCTCGGCTTTTATTTGTGACGGCGTTGTGCATCGCCGCTGTGTCCCGGCGACACGGTCGCTCCGCGCTCTGGACCGCGGGCATTGCGTGGCTGAAGCCCTGGGCTGGGGGATGCAGCGAAGCGCTCGCAGCGCCAACAGAAAGCGGGGGCCGGGGTCGCTGGGGGGTGGTGGCGGTCTGCAGGTGCCAGTGCACCACACGACAGGGACAGACGGGTGGGAAAATGGGACACACAGGCAGAACCCGGTACGCAAATACTCCCGGCGGCAGAGGAAAAGGATGCTAAGTTCCCCCCACTCCCCTTGCTTTTCCATCTCCCACCTTATCAGGACGACTCTCACCGTCCCCGTGTCCCTCTTTCTCCGCAGTGCCCGGGGCCACATGTGCCCAATGCCGACGACCAGAGGGGAGCAGTGGTACAAGCTGGGGCACAGCCCGGCCTTCTTTCTAGTTGCTTCTCCTGCCAGGGAGGGGGAGCACGGTGGCAGCCTCCACACAAACCTTCTCCTGGCCCCTGTAGCCACTGCCACAGTCATGGCACCCAAGTCATGTCCATGTCGAATTGCCACCAGGGATGATGGTCAGCTGTCCAGTCACATCAGGGTGGCTGGCATCACCCTGACCACAAACTCTTAACTGGCTGCAAAGCGATCCCAGGTGAGAATAGAACAGAGCATAGCAGAGCAGTTGGAAGGAACCTACAACGGTCATCCAGCCCAGCTGCCTGACCTAAGGGCCTAAAGCACATATTGTCCAAATGCCTCTTAAACAATGACAGACTCAGGGCATCAGCCACCTCCTTAGAAAGCCTGTTTGAGTTTTTAACACCCTCTCAGTAAAGAAATACATCCCAATGTCCAGTCTGAACCTCCCCTTTGAATCATTCCCATGCATCCTGTCACTGGATACCAGGGAAAAGAGCTCAACACCTCCCTCTCCACTTCCCCTTCTCAGGATGCTATGGAGAACAGAGAAGTCACCTCTCAGTGTCATTTTCTCTAATCTAGACAATCCTGGCCAAAATAACCAGCCCTGGGCTCCAGACTCACTGAACTCTCAGCTGGGTTATTTCAGCTCGGGGCAGTGCTCTGCACCAGAGCTGCAGAGCAGACCTGCTCTCACCCAGGGCTGTAATAGTGCCTGTGCCCTGGCAGCCCAGCTGTGCCATACAGCACTCATGTGGGCTGCTCAAAACAGAAACATTTATATGGGTTTAAGCTCTAAATGCAAGTGAGTACCGCTAAAGAGAAGTCGTGTGTGGGCCCACTGGCATGGAGCTCCCTTTGAAGTCAGTAAAAGGCTTTACCATTGACTTCATTGGCTGGAAGAATTAGTTGTAGGTTTGGGTGTTTTTTTAACATCATCAGACATTCATTGCACTCTCCCATGAGAGCAGGTTGAATTATCTATTGTGAATAATTTATCCAGTGAATTTAGTCCTGTTCATGTATAAAAGTGCCATTTGCATTCAGAATTAGAAGTGTTCAATAAGAGCAATATGAGCGAGCACATCATTCAACTTACAGGTCTCTTCTGCCTTCTGCCAGAGACAGAGGAAAGGACAGATGAGGCAGAAACCAAGATACTGGCTGGAGGAGGAGGAGTGAGTTACATTTTACAGAGTACAGCTTGTAAACGTGCCCAGCACCCAGAAGCCACAGAGACAGGAGACAGACCAGAACTTTTACCCAGAGGTGCAAGTTCTTCACCTTGACTGTGCCTCCATCAGTGGTACCACATCATGAGTTTCCCCATTACTTGGTCATATTTCTGCTTTTTACACAAATGAAGGAAACTTGATAAAAGAGAAATAATACCAAATGCTTTTGAGAAAATTCAAATACAAAGAGCCAGGCATACTTTCGAAATTCAAAAGATCAAACCCTGAACATGTATCTTGGGGAAAAAAAATATGGGTAAAAAGTTTTAACAAGTAAGGCTTGGCCACCTAACTATAACTCTCTGGTTTTCCACTTTCATTTCACCAATCCCTTGTATTTCACCAGTTCTTCTTACAATCGTTGGGTCCAATGGAAGGAGACTCAGAGATACAAAAGGCAGAGGAGAGGTGACTTAATGCTTCACAGCTGTATGGAACAGACAGCTTATTGTGCCTTCTTTCTTTTTGAGTCAGTATTTGTGGCTATGACAGAAAGAGCTTGTTTTTCAGCCAGCTTAAAATCCAGCTGTTAGTGGAGGAAAGTGACTTGAAGTAAACCTGAAATTACTACTTGGGAAATATTTTGACAAATTTTTTTTTTTTCTATACATTTGGTTTCAATACTTTTTGCACTTTAAAAATCATTATTTAAGAATCTTGAAGTACCTATGGAAATGGATAGTCATTCCAAAAAGGAAATGGTAAAGCACTGAATTTTGAAAGTGACTAATGAGATATCCCCATTTTTTCTTTTATCCTTTTGTTTTGACCTGAAGATATCTACAGATTCATTGTGAACTTATGACATGCTTTTCAGTCCCCTGAATTATGGCAGGGATCTCTTTACAGCTTCCCTTAATCTCTGTAGGTCTGAAATGGAAGTCTGCTTCTGACAGCAAAAAATGTCATAACTCTGCACGCTTAGCAAGGGAGAACGACTGACAGACACCTTGCAAAGTGAAAACAAATGAGGAGCTCTAATTTAAAACCACAGAGAGCCAGCAGGGAGCTCCTGATGACATGCAGACGAGGGGCAGCTGAGCCACTGGTGATGGGAGAGCTGTTCCTACTGCATTCCCTCCGACCTGGCTTAGCCTGAGGGGCATCCGATGTGGTGGAAGAGCTCCCACGCTGAGCTGCACAGCACGGCCACACCAGCAGGTTTTATTCTACCTGAAGGGGATATCACAAATGGTCTGTTCTACAAGGTGGATTTTTTTTTTAATGTTTAGATTGAGTATGAATTAAGAAAACCAGACAAGAAACACTATATTAAAAAAAAAAATCTTCAAAAAGGGTAATATAAAAAATGTAACATTTATAGGTATTTTTTTTTTAAATAGCAATTAAGGACTTTATCATGAAGGCTCGTTTCCTGGACGTACCCTACAGCTCTTTTGAGCTGCCTATTAAAGGTCACTGTCACAGACTGCTGGTCCAGCTCTCATCCTTGGCTCCACCACTGACCTGTGCTGTGATCCTCAGCAAGCCAGGGCTTTGCTCGTTTCCGACCACGGCGCCTTCTCCAGTGACCCAGGGGCGCCCCGTCCTGTCCCTGGCTCGATCCCTGCGGAGCCGCAGGGGCACCCCGCAGCTGCAGCCGTCGGGTGGAACAGCAGGATCGGCGGGAATGACAAACCAGCTGCAAGCCTCACCCTGCCTTCTCCCAGTCATTACAGCAGGCAGGGGCTCTCCATTGCCCCAAGGACTGCAGGGTGTGGCACAGAATGAATACTGAATAACATCCTAGGTTTCATCAGGTATGGATTAGTGATGGGAGTGACAGGTAGCAAACCATCTTGTCCCTCATTTTGACAGAAGCCCCAGTTTTTGGTATTTCAAGGCTGTCTCACGTGCTGAACAGGAGCACTAGGCACAGGGTGACAGGACAGAGGTGTTTGAACATCTCTGCAGGAGCTTTTCACTTCATGCTTCATTCCTGTGAAGCTTCTGTGACTCCAGAAAGTCAGGACCAGCCTTCGCAACATAAGCAGGATATGCTCAGTTTTAAACCAGAAAACTGACACAAAACTGCCTCTTTTTCTTTCTTTTTTTTTTTTTTTTTTTTTTTTTTTTTTGTGGGGGGGGTTTGTTCTTTTTTTTTTTGGTTAGCATTCTCTATGGTTGTATTTCAGCCACCACACATACTATAGGCTCATGGAATTATTTGGGTCAGAAAAGACCTTTAAGACCACTGAGTACCACTGTTAATTGTACATATGCATATATAATTCATGGGGCTCAAAGATGCTACATCAATTTAAATCTTGTAGGTCTTCTTAATGATAAGCAGTGAATCTAAATCACTGGCAATGTGAATTGCAAGACTTTGGTTGGCACAGTGCCTGCATCTAGGCCCCAGCTGGTAATGGGAGAAAGTCAGCAGGCTTTTAGGAAGCAATAGATAATTACCTTGCCAGGGTCTAGAATTTAAGGATGAGTGCAGGGAGGCCCAGAGCAATAACGTGTCCATAAGGAAAACAGGCCCACTACCTGAAAATGTTACTTTGAATATAGCATTTTGGTTTTACATGATTAGGTGTGCTACTGCACAGTTAAACTCTTCAGTGCATTACAGTACCAGGAAATGGGAGAGATGCTCTTTGCTGGATTACTAAATCAATGGGCTCATTAAGAGAGACATAAGTAGTGTCAGATCTCTAGTGATACCTTAAAATCTGCTTAGGGAGCCACTGGGACTAGAAAAAGAGAACAGTTAAAACCAGCAAAAAAAAAAAAATCAGTAAAATAAATGGGGAATTAAATAATCCCTCTTATTTTCCATGTGAGCATTCTTGCTGTAACATGTATCAGTGGCAAGTGGCTGCTCATAAAGGTAAAGGAGGAAAGTGTCTGGATTTCTAACATTTGACACTTGTTTGCATTTGTCTCCCAGTGGATCAATATCATCTAATACCACATATTTCCTTCCTGCCTCTCCAGCCCATTCAGCAGCAGCTAACACCACTCCAGGACAATTTGCTTTGTTACTCCTACCCCCATTT